AAGGACGGGACAGCCCCTCCCCCTCTGGCCCCGAGCCCGCGGTCCCCGCACCTCGTCAGCGCCCCCACGATCGGCGGCGAGATCGTCAACGAGAATTCGCTGGAGTTCGCTGATCTCCACCGTGCGGGAGCGAACTCAGCCATGCAACACCCCAGGCGGCGGGCCCCAGAGGACAGCCTCCCTCCTGACAGTGCCCTGCTCACGGGCCGGAGACGCCTTCGACGGCCCCTCTGGCGGCCAGGGAGAAGCCCTTTCTGAATTCTTCGAGGGTTCTCAAGACCTCTCTTGGTGCCAGGTTGGCACTCGACGCCTAAATCGGCGGATTCTCAACGAGAAGCGGCGGGTGTCTCGGGCGGAGTCCGACTGCACGGAGCAGGAAGCGGTCAGGCAACCACACGTGAGCCCTGCCCCTGCAGGTCAGACTTCTGAAGAACCGACGGGGAGGGAGAATTTGAGTGCTGCTTGCAGCCAGGTGAACCCCAGCAGGGGTGCCCGATGCCCCAGCGTCGATTGGACCCGCAGGGGTGGGGTTCGCGAGTGGTCGCAGAAGGCGGCGCAGCACTACGCCGAGGACGAGACGAACAAGGCGCCGACCGAGGCGTGGCACGTCGAGGCGAAGACCGCCCTCGAGCACCATCGGTGACGTCCTGCAGAACGTGGGGTCCAAGGTGGAGCTCGAGGACGGAGACAAGGAGAAGATACAAATGGCGGTGCACGATACCTTGGAGTGGCTCGAGTGACATCGAGGGCAAGAAGCAGGTGCTGGGGAGGGGGGGGCATCCTCGCTCTTCCCCATCGTGGGCGACAGCCCGAAGAAGTTCGAGCTCAGGCACCAGAGTACCACTGCCGCGCCTTCGGCAGCCTTCTGGAGAGGGCGGAGCTCCACGTCAGGACCAAAAATAACATGCATTCGGGTGGAGCTTCGAGGCATCCGCGGCTGGCTCGAGGAGCACCCGCATGCAGGCAAAGATAAGTGAAAGGGCAATCAGAAGGAGCTAGAAGGTAGGCGTTTCTTTCCTGGGTTTCGACATGTGGACGAAAAGGTGGGGAGGGGGGGGCGCCTGGATCTGGGCCGGTGCTTGGTCGATCTGCTCCTTCCAGCCGCAGAGCAGACTCGGGGACGGGACCCTGACCAGTCGCCAAAAGCAGCCGCCAAAAGCAGGCAAGATCTGGTCCGTGGAGGGGGGAGGAGGGGGGAGGGAGCCAGGGACCCGCGCCGACCGGCGAAACAATGCATCGGAGAAGCGCGACAAGGGACAGTTACTCGACCCCAGCGTACACGGGCCGCGCCAGTACCAGAAGAAGAAGGCGGTGAAGTATCGCGCGCGCGCGCCTGGCGCTCTCAGCGCCAGGGCGATGCGCCCCTCGGGGTCAGGAGGAGGAGGAGGAACACGAGGAGGAGGAGGAGGAGGAGGAGGAGGAGGAGGAGGAGGAGCAGCAGGAGGAGGAGGAGGAGGAGAAGGAGCAGGAGTGCAGCCAAGTGCAGTGCTGGGACGGGGCACGGGGTGCGCTGCTCGGGAGTCATTGCCCGCTCTTCCGAAGGGATCCCCCGCCCGAGCGCTCCGCCCCGAGTGCACAGGCCACGCGGGTGGACAAGAGGCGGCGGCAGCAGCAAGACCTCAACTTATACTCCACCGTCATCTCATGCCGCATGCTTTCATGCCTCATATTTCCACCTCCATCTCCTACCTTCCTCCTCCTCCTCCTCGGAACACTGCGGAATGGATCCTAACACTACTCATGAGCACTGCTGGGCGGGGGGGAAAAGGGAAAGCGGAGGATGGAACGACAACTCGGCTGCGCCTGCGCCGCACCCACGCAGCGCGTGCTGAAAGTCACTGCACTCTCTGGTAGCGTTCCCACTAATGCATACTACACCTTCGGGAAACCGTGCATCCACTGATTGCTCTCTCAGATAGACCATCGGAGGGGAAAGGAGAGAGGAGACCCTAGACAACAGACCAGAAATACGTGGCACCGATAATGTGACGAGCATCCAGCCCACCATCCCCCGCTATTTAGGGTCCTCCGTAGGGGAACGACACGTCAGCTGCGCCTCCTTCTCCTCCTACTCCTCCTCCGGCTCTCGAGCCCACCCCCGGGGAACGGCTTTTTGCCGCGAGTCGTTTGCGATGGTGCTGCAGGTCTGGGTTAAGCCCCTGGACCCCGAGGTTCTGATTCACAAAATAGGAGCGAACGAAAACGTCAGTCGCGAGTGTTTCGTGACGCCTGGAAGTCTGGGGTCTCGCGCGGGGAGGAGAAGGAGGAGGAGGAGGAGGAGGAGGAGGAGGAGGAGCAGGAGGAGGAGGAGGAGCAGGAGGAGGGGCAAGGAGATGAAGGGAGGGAGGGAGGGAGAGAAAGAGTCAGGAAGGGAGGGAGGCACAATTTTTCACAGGGCGTCGCAAACTCAGAACTTAGAACTGCTGGCCCTAGAATTGATGGCTCTGCAGAAGCAGCTTGCGGCACGAAGTGCCAACGCACCTGGGGCACAACTTACCAGCACGTCTACTAAGTGTGAAACCCGCGACTCTGTAGTCAGTAGCGCGCGAGGCAAACAGCGCACACCTCCTGGTATTTCCTATTGTTGTTGTTCCTCCCCTCCTGATGTCGCCACAGCTGGTGGTCCTCTTCCCCCCTTTCCTCCTTCCCCCCTCTATCCGCGTTGAATCCTCTTCCTCCCCGTTCCTCCTCGGCCGGCTCTTTCGACGCCCCCTGTTAATCTATCATAGGGGTGCCCAATGTGCTGAACGTCTGATTTTTTGGTTCCTTTTTTTAGACTCCCCCTGGGGCGTCGGCCCTGCGCGCTGGCCATCCGGAAAGCTGCTCGAGAGGTGGTTGCAAAAGTTGTTTCTGCTCCAGATGGCTCCAAGATGGCCCACGATCAAGATGGCCTCCAAGTTCGCCAAGATGGCCCAAGATGGCCTCCAAGACGGCCTAACAGAGTCCTAGATACTCCCAAGTTCGCCGAAGAAGCCTCCAAGACGGCCCAAGACGGCCCAGAGGCCCCCACGAGGCCTCCAAGATGGCCCAAGAGGCCTCCAAGAGGTCCTCCAGGAGGGCCCGAAGAGGCCAAAATCATTGATTGCCCCAAGGTTTTTGACTGATTTGGGAATTTGCCTTCTTTTCGGCCGGCCCAGGAGGCCCCCAAGATCACCCCCAGAGCGCCCAAGAGGCCTCCAAGAGGGCCCCAGGACGGCCCAAGAAGCCCCCAGAACGGTCCAGAGGGGGGCCCAAGAAGGCCCAAGAGGCCTCCATGACGGCCAAGATGGCTTCCAAGACGGCCCTGATGCGCCCCAAGAGGGCCCCAAGACGATCCAGACAGGCCCCCAAGACGGCTCCCGACGGCGTCAGACGGCCCAGGAACGCCCTAAGACGGCCAAAGAGGCCCCGAACAAGCCCCCAAAAGCCCCCAAGAGGCCGAAGGAGACCCCCGAAAGGCCTCCAAGAGGCTCCCTGGAAGCTCACAGGAGACCCCAAGAATGCCCCAAGAGGCTCCCAAGAGGTCTACTTCTCCCCTCCTCCTCCTCCTCCTCCTCCTCCTCCTCCTCCTCCTCCTCCTCCTCCTCCTCCGCCTCCTCCTGCCGTTTCCTCCTTCTCCCGATGATCCTCTTCATCACGTGTTCCCCGAAGGGTTTCGACGACGGCCGGGGGAACACATGGTCCGATAGCTTGGCCAAGCTCATGTGGCTAGAGTCTAGCCCAACTTTCGGCCACATTGGCGCTTCCAAAAAGGCAGGGGGCGGCGGTGATTCGCCGCAGGCGTCTTCAATATATCGGCCTCACAATCTATGTACATACGTTGATCTCACTGTCAATGAATGAGTTTACTTTTGGGAAACCCATCGGGACAACCATCGGGGCAGCCATCGGGACAACCATCGGGATAACCATCGGGACAACAATCCGGACAACCACTGGGACAACCATCGGGACAACCACGGGACAACCACAGGACACCCGCGGGACAACCCTGGCCCAAAATCCGCCAAACAGGGGGAGGAGAAACACTTAGTCTGACTTCGCCCTAGCAACGGCGGGAGCACTCCTCTCGCCCGCGCACGCAGCTTCGCCCCGCCTGCACACGCGGCAGACACACGAAACCGAATCCGACCCCCCGGCGGGGGGTCTCCGTTTCACTTCGACCTCACCCCCGAACCTCCTATCCTCTGCGTCCTTAGTTGCCTTTCTGGACACAGCAAGAGGGCGAGGGGAAGGGCAGCCGTCGGGTGAACACCTGCTAAAGCAGACCAGAAAAGTGCAGAGCGTCGTGATGGACAGTCCGGCATCGGACTCGACTCCGCCGACCACTCAGGGCCTCAGGGCGTGCGAGACTCCCACCTGTAGCCACCCCACTGGTACAGGGGAGAAGGGGGGGGGAATGCCCCTGGGAGGCCCCGGACGACCCCAGGACGAGCTCACCTGGGGCCTTCCCCAGAGGGCCTCGAGACGGCTCTGGGAAACCTCGAGATGGCTCCAAGACGGCACAGGCCCTCCAGACGGCCCCAGAGGGCTCCAAAAGGACCACCTAGAGGGCCTCGAGAGGCAAAACACCAAGGAGATGTTCTGTAGGTGTCTGGCTGATTTTCGTGTTCACTCGGGCTTTCCACACTCCAAGACGACCACAGATGCCTCCAAGATGGCCCGATACTGGCCCCAGAAGCCACCAAGAGTGCCCCAGGAAGGCCCAAGAAGGCCCCAAAGGGCCCCAAAAGGCCTCCAGGACAGCCCCAAGACGACCCCAGGCGGCACCACGAAGACGGCCCTTGAGGACCCCAAGAGGGCCCAAAGACAGCCCAGAGAGGCCCCCCACGGCCTCTGAAGGCGCCACACGGCCCAACAGCGCCCAAAAACTGCCCAAGACGCCCCCAGGATGCACCAACAGGCCCCCAACAGGCCCCGAAGAGGGAAGCCCCAATATGCCCCCAAGAGACCCCCAAGACACCTCCAAAAGGCCCCCAGGAGGCCTCAAACGCACATGCTCTACACACACTCTGGACGTGTACCCCGCAAAGCGAGAGCAATCATTGGAGTCTGACGAACAATTGGGCTCCAGCCTATGTTCAGCTTGGGACAACAGCTCTAAGCGGCGAGAGCGAGTTTGGCACAGGCAACCGAGCTTTGCGGATTCTGACCCGTGACAAGCTTGCCGTCCGCCACGGCTTTCTCAGACCACGGATCCCCGGCCTCGCAGGTCGCCCCCAGCTCGGCCATCTTCTTCGCCAGCGAGAAAGGAACCTTCTCGGACAAGCCCACCGCATCCTCCTCCGCATCCGTGAAGCACGCCACCTTCTTTCCTTTCACGACAGGCTCGCCGTCGGCCGCCTTCGCCTTGACCAGCGCCATGGGGCCGTGGCAGACGGCGCCGACGACTTTTCCGGCGGCCAGCGCCTTGGAGATGGCCTCACCGACCTCGTCGGTGGGAAAGTCCACGCACGTGCCGTGCCCACCGGCAAAGAAGACAATATCGAAAGTAGCAGCATCCACCTCGGACAACTTCTTGGTGCCCTTCAGTGGAGCGGAGCCCTCCGCTTCCATCTTCTTGTCGTTCTCGGTCTTGAAGGTATCTGAAAGAGATCCAGCGTCGAGCGGAACGTCGCCGCCAGCAATGGTGACGACTGTCACGTCGCACCCTGCGCCAAGAAATACGTAGTAAGGGCCACATACTTCTTCGCTCCAACATCCAGTGGCGTGACCTCCCATGTCGGTAGCAGACGTGCATACGATCAATGCCTTCTTTGCAGCTCCACCCGTCACAGACAACGCCTTCTGAAGCTTGTCGCGCTGCTCTGGCGTCAATTCGGACAGCGCTTTCTGCAATTCCTCCTGTGTGCACGACTCGACTGCCTTCCCAATGCCTGCGGTGGATGCACCACTCCCCATTGCTGTGTGGCTGCTTCTCGCGACCTGGAGGGCAAGAAGAAGAAGAAGAAGAGCTCAAGTGCAAGCGCGCGTGCAGATGAAGCGCTACTGGCTCGCAGCGCGACTGGTCAGACTGGAGAACCCCTTTGACCTTGAGCCTTGGCGGCTCGAGCCGAACTTGCTGCGGAGGAGGTAGAGGACACGAGGCAGCAGCAGCAGCAGCAACAGGGGCAGGAGGAGGAGCAGTAGGCGAGAAGGCAGAAACAGGCGGAGGAGGGATGAACCTGGGAAGGGAGGGGTAACTAGGAGAAGGACAAGGAGGGTGGAGGAGGGCCCGTGGATGTTGGTCTTGGGGGCACGCGAATTCGCGTCACCCCCAAAGAAAGCGCGCCACCCTCACAGCTTCGTGCTGCCTGCGCTGCCTCAGAACTGGAGCTGGGGCCAGATGAGCGCCACCTCTCCTCGGGGTCCAGCCCACCAGCGGGCACCGACTTCCTTTTCCACCATCACCAACATTCCACTGACCGCAGAACGACCAAAAACTGAGAGGGGAAAACTATTCGGAGGTACAAGCAAAATGTCTGCCGGCGCCAGGCCTCCCCCCTCCCCTGGCGCGCAAGGGGTGGCGCCAGGTGCGCGACAGTGGCCTCTGACAGCGGGTGTTGTGAATTGTCTCCCCGAGCCCCAAGATCCCGCACTCGTTCTTGCGAGGCGGGGGCACATCCATATCCACCGCTTCGGGAACCGACTTCCTGGGACCCCAGCGGGCGGTGGTTATGGATGCATTTGGGATCCAGGGGGCCCGAATATACATATATATATATATATAATACAGATATCTATGTATATATATATATGTATAATATATATATATATGTGTATATATATATATATATATATATGTGTGTATCCATCCATCTTCGCCGCCTACCGAGGTCCCCGAAGATCAATTCACCAGGCGACGGTCATGGATCAGCTCCCGCCTCGGAATTTGACCTTTCGCGCACCTCCCCAGGCAGGGCTGCACGGGTGCCTACCGTGCCACGTGTGGCGGCTCCGCCAAACCTCGGAGCGCAGCGCGAGCACGGGCGGCGCGGGCGGGCGGCCCGCGGGCGCCGACGCAGCGCAGCGCCAGGGCAGCATGGCGCAGCGCGCGCCGCCGGTTCGTCTCCCGTGTGCGGGCCTGATCTTTATCCATGTCCGCTGCGTCCGGGAGTTTCGGGCTCCCGCCCTCCGATGCCAGAGGCGCCGTGGATATGGGTAGAGCAATGTCGCCCCCAGAGGGCAGATTCTTGTCCATGTCCACTGCGTCTGGGAGTTTCGGGCTCCCGTCCTCCGTGTCCAGGGGCGCCGTGAATCTGGATAAAGCAATGTCGCCCCTAGAGGGCAGATTCTTGTCCATATCCACTGCGTCTTGGAGTTTCGGGCTCCCGTCCTCCGATGCCAGAGGCGCCGTGGATATGATAAAACAATTTCGCCCCTAGAAATCAGATTTTTATCCATATCCACTGCGCCGCGGCCTGTTGGCGCGAGCCCCCGCACGGGATATCTGAGGGAGCGAAGACAATATCAGTAACACGACGCCGTGGAGAAACCATGAGCGTGTCACTGTTGAAGGCGCACCAGGCCTTGGGACAAGAACGAGGGAGGTTAACACGAAGACGGATCGCCCAACGGCGTCGTGCCATTGATACTCTGGTTCCCTCCCGAGTTTCACCTTTTGCGCGTGCATTGGCCTTTCGGATCCCTGCTCGTGCAGCCGAACGCAGCGCTCGCGGGCAGGCCCCTGACCCCCAAAGGGCGGCCAGCCTCTCGGCGAGCGCCGGAAACCGTGCGCAAAGGATCTGCTCCGCCTCCGAACGCCCTCGCGTCTTCCCTGGGCACTCTTCGATTATCCTCAGAACGTGTGGTAGCGCCAAGGCGCGCTTCTCCCGCGAAGCCCTTCGAGACGACGTGGGTGAGGGCCGACACGGGCCGCGTAGTATCGGTGGAGCTGAACGGGGTGAACACAGATTGGACTAACACACGTCCTGAGGAGAATCCACCCCTCTTCAGCAGAACACCAACCTATCAATGCTGACTGGCAATCTGAAGGGCCCGCAGTGCGCAAGAAGAGCACCCAGCAGTGATTTCAGAAGAGCGCAGCAAGAAGAGGAACGGCCGATATACAAAAAAAAGGAAAACACAGGGGCCTGAAGTAGTTCGTGCCGTATGGCGTACCTCCGCTGGGCCTCCCAGGAGCCCACGAAAGTGGCGACAGTTGCGCAGATCGCAAGCCCCCCAGGGGGCGGCGAGGTCCTGAGGTGGTCCGCGTATGGCGTACCTCCGCTGGGCCTCCCAGGAGCCCACGAAAGTGGCGACAGTTGCGCAGATCGCAAGCCCCCCAGGGGGCGGCGAGATCCCGAGGTGGTCCGCGTATGGCGTACCTCCGCTGGGCCTCCCAGGAGGCCACGAAAGTGGCGACAGTTGCGCGGATCGCAAGCCCCCCAGGGGGCGATGAAGGCGAGGTCCCGAGGTGTCTCCGCGTGCGGCGTACCTTCCGCTGGGCCTCCCAGAGGCACCGAAAGTTGTGAACAGATGCGCGGATCGCAAGCCCCCCAGGGGGCGGCGAGGTCCCGAGTGTCGCGTATGGCCGTACCTCCCTGGCCTCCCAGAGGCCACGAAAGTACGACAGTTGCGCCAAATTCGCAAGCCCCCCCAGGGGGGCGGCGAGGTCCACCGAGGTGGTCCGCGTATGGCGTACCTCCGCTGGGCCTCCCAGGAGCCCACGAAGTGGCGACAATTACGCAGATCGCAAGCCCCCCACGGGTCGGCGAGGTCCCGAGGTGGTCCGCGTATGACGTACCTCCGCTGGGCCTCCCAAGCCCCACGAAAGTGGCGACAATTGCGCAGATCGCAAGACCCCCAGGGGGCGGCGAGGTCCCGAGGTGGTCCGCGTATGACGTACCTCCGCTGGGCCTCCCAGGAGCCCACGAAAGTGGCGACAGTTGCGCAGATCGCAGCCCCCAGGGCACTGCGAGGTCTCGAGGTGGTCCGCGTGGGACCCACCTCCGCTTGGCCTCCCAGGAGCCCACGAAAGTGGCGACAGTTGTGCAGATCGCAGCCCCCAGGGCGCCGCGAGGTCTCGAGGTGGTCCGCGTGGGACGTACCTCCGCTGGGCCTCCCAGGAGCCCACGAAAGTGGCGACAGTTGCGCAGATCGCAAGCCCCCCAGGGGGCGACGAGGTCCCGAGGTGGTCCGCGTGGGACGTACCTCCGCTTGGCCCCCCAGGAGCCCACGAAAGTGGCGACGGTTGCCCAGATCGCAAGCCCCCCAGGGGGCGGCGAGGTCCCGAGGTGGTCCGCGTATGGCGTACCTCCGCTGGGCCTCCCAGGAGGCCACGAAAGTGGCGACAGTTGCGCGGATCGCAAGCCCCCCAGGGGGCGGCGAGGTCCCGAGGTGGTCCGCGTATGGCGTACCTCCGCTGGGCCTCCCAGGAGGCCACGAAAGTTGCGACAGTTGCGCGGATCGCAAGCCCCCCAGGGGGCGGCGAGGTCCAGAGGTGGTCCGCGTATGGCGTACCTCCGCTGGGCCTCACCAGAGGCCAGAAGTAGCGACAGTTTGCGCATAATCGCAAGCCCCCCCAGGGTGCGCGAGGTCCCGAGGTGTCCGCGTATGACGTGCGAGTACCTCCGCTAGGGCCTCCCAGCGAGGCCACGAAAGTTGGCGACAGTTGCGCGGATCGCAAGAGCCCCCCAGGGCGCGCGAGTCCCCATGTGGTCCGCGTATGGCGTACCTCCGCTGGGCCTCCCAGGAGCCAACGAAAAAAGACGACAACTGCGCAGATCGCAAGCCCCGCAGGGGGCGGCGAGGTACCGAGGTGATCCGCGTGGGACCCACCTCCGCTGGGCCTTCCAGGATCCCACGACAATGGCGACAATTGCGCAGATCGTAAGCCCTCCCAGGGGGCGGCGAGGTTCGCCGAGGAGGTCCCGCGTATGCGTACCTCTCGCTGGCCACCCAGCAGGCCACGAAAAGTGGCGACAGTTGCGCGGATCGCAAGCCCCCCCAGGGGCGGGCGAGGTCCCATGTGGTCCGGCGAATGGCGTAACCTCCGCTGGGCCTCCCAGGAGCCACGAAAGTGGCGACAGTTGCGCAGATCGCAAGCCCCCCAGGGGGCGGCGAGGTCCGAGGTGGTCCGCGTATGGCGTACCTCCGCTGGGCCTCCCAGGAGCCCACGAAAGTAGCGACAGTTGCGCAGATCGCAAGCCCCCCAGGGGGCGGCGAGGTCCCGAGGTGGTCCGCGTATGGCGTACCTCCGCTGGGCCTCCCAGGAGGCCACGAAAGTGGCGACAGTTGCGCGGATCGCAAGCCCCCCAGGGGGCGGCGAGGTCCCGAGGTGGTCCGCGTATGGCGTACCTCCGCTGGGCCTCCCAGGAGGCCACGAAAGTGGCGACAGTTGCGCGGATCGCAAGCCCCCCAGGGGGCGGCGAGGTCCAGAGGTGGTCCGCGTATGGCGTACCTCCGCTGGGCCTCCCAGGAGGCCACGAAAGTAGCGACAGTTGCGCAGATCGCAAGCCCCCCAGGGGGCGGCGAGGTCCCGAGGTGGTCCGCGTATGGCGTACCTCCGCTGGGCCTCCCAGGAGCCCACGAAAGTGGCGACAGTTGCGCAGATCGCCGCAGCCCGACGGCACGAGAGAAGAGGAGAGGGGAACACAGGAAACAGGAGAGGCGGAGGAGGAGGAGAGGGGAGGCGGGAGAAGGAGGGTGGAGACCACACTGCTCTATTCAAAACGAGATCCCAACACAGGAGGGTTGGGAAAAATAATAGACAGATCGTCCCCTGACTATTTTTCAATCCGCCGGCCCCCTTGCGGGACCACCAGGCTGTAGGCCGGGAATGCGCTGCTCCCTGTACCAGTTGCAGCTTCCAGTTTCCACTGTTACAGTTCTGCTTCTTGCTGCTTACTATTCCTTGTCGATACACGCGCGAGGGGGGGAGGGAGGCCCAAACAGAGTTCTCAGAATTTCTGAGGGGGGGTAAAAATTAACACCCCTCGCGCAGATCCGCAGGGTCAGGGTCCAAAAACACAAGGGATTTGCCACATGTTTAAACTTCAGTGGCACCCCTCACGCAGATCGGCGGGGTCAAGGTCCAAAAACACAAGGGATGTGCCACATATCTGAAATTCGGTGGCACCCCTTACGCAGATCGGCTGGGTCAGGGTCCAAAAACACACGGGATGCGCCACATTTGTTTAATTCAATATCACCTCTTAGAAAAGTCGGCGGGGTCAGGGTCCAAAAACACATCGGATTTGCTACATTCCTGAAATTCAGTGGCACCCCTCACGCAGATCGGCGGGACCAGGATCCAAAAACACACGGGATGTACCACATTTCTAAAATTCGGTGGCACCCCTTTCGCAGATCGGCGGGGTCAGGGTCCAAAAACACATCGGATTTGCTACATTCCTGAAATTCGGTTGCGCCTTATGCAGATCGGCGGGGTCAGGGTCCAAAAACACATCGGATTTGCCACATTCCTGAAATTCAGTGGCACCCCTCACGCAGATCGGCGGGACCAGGATCCAAAAACACACGGGATGTACCACATTTCTAAAATTCGGTGGCACCCCTTTCGCAGATCCGCAGTGCAGGGTCAATAAAAACAATAGCATCTGCAACATTTCTGAAATTCGGTGGCACCCCTCACGCAAATCGGCGGGGTCAGGGTCGAAAAACAAACAGGTCCCGACACTGCTTCACGGCGGCGCCCAGACCTCATGATTTAGCTTTTGCATCGCCCATTATCCGAGACAGGGGGCCGGCGGCATGGGGCGAAGCCCTTACGGATATTTCTCCTGTAGATGGACACGCCCGACTTAAAGGTCCTCCTCTTTTCCAGCCCCGACCGGACGGGACGCCCACTGCGAGGCGCAGGCCGCGCGCGGAAGCAGCCCGAGCAGGGAGGGCTGCGCCGGCCCCGGCTCAGCCCGGCCCCCGGCGCCTCCTGAGCTCGGCCTCCTGGAGCCGGAGCACGTCGTTCCACAGGTCCTCTCGGCCGAGGGGCCACTTCCACCTGCATCTTTCTGCTCCCTGTCGGACAGGGAGCGTCGTAGCTGAGTCGATTCCCTTCTGCGAGCCCCAAGAATATACACCAGCACCACGTCGATTCCTCCTCCCTCCTCTACCCTCCTCTTCCGCTCCTCTCTCCTGGATCGGGAGAGGGTGAAGGTGGTGGTGGTGGTGGTGGTGGTGGTGGTGGTGGTGGTGGTGGTGGTGGTGGTGGTGGTGGTGGTGCTGCTGCTGGTGGTGGTGGTGTATACTTTTGGGCCCCGTACCTTCCCTGTTTCCCTTCCCTGGCGGGTTGGGAGGGGGGGGGGCGGAGGGGGGAGGGGCTTCCCAGGTCAGAATACCCGGCCCACCCCCAGGGTCCCCGGGGGTCCCCCCGGGGGGGGGGTCGCCAGCGGGGGTCCCGGGGGAGGTGCCGCCCTGAGGGTCGGCGGAGCCAGCTGTCAGGCCTTAGCGAATGGGATGTGCTCCCGCTCTGCCACCTAGCCGGCCGATAACAACCCAATCGGGGTGGTCCCATCCTACAGAAAACGACACAGTGGGGGCCTGTCCACAAGAAACCTTCCACGAGAAACCCCACCCTTAGATCCCAGGACGTCCCTTGATTTTCGGTGTGGGAGCGTCACTCTTCCCATATAGAGAAACCATCGAAACCCAAGAAACCCAGGGCACCCTGGAGGCAAGCGGGGGGGTTCTTGGCATGTGCCTCCACAGTACGCCGTCCACGTTGCAAAAGGCGTGGCTGGAGTGGGGCGGGGCGCACATCCCGCGCGAAAGTCCGAAATGTCGTTCTCGCCTCGGCTTCGCGCCCACTTTCCAAAGAATGCATTTTTCGCACCAATTTTCGTCGGCACGCGAGCGGGCGAAAATGTCGCTCTCGGCTCGGCGCCACGCAGACGTCGCTTGAAAGTGGCGTTCCCGCCTCGACGCGGCGCATTTTGTCGCTCGCCAGTTTTGGAGGGCCCGCACGAGTGGCCGACTTGTCGCCCTCGCCCAAGTTCTGTGCGCATTTGGCTTGGCAGTGGCGTTCCAGCGCAGGCGCAGCGCGTG